GGCTCGATCCCAGGACCCTGGGATCATGACCTGAGCCGAAGGCAGACGCTTAACCGACTGAGCCACCCAGGCGCCCCTGCTCAATTTTTAATGTAAATAATTATATAATCTGCTCTGAGTGACATAAACTTAAGGAATTAAATGTCCTTAATAGTTTTTTTTTCTTATCACAGAATTTGGTTGTAATTTCCACTATTATTACTAATTAGCTCCATTATTAATGAGCAGAACTAACAATAGCAGGCATTCCTTTTTTTGTTTTTAGTCTTGGATGTAAACTCCTAAAGTTTCCCCAGTAAGTTTACTTACTGTAGGTTTTGGTAGGTAGTCTTTATTAGGTTTCTTAGTTTTCTAAGAACTTTTATTTTAAATAGGGATTAAACTTAAGCAATGACTTTTTCTGCACCTATTAAGATAAATATGTGGGATTTCTCTTTAGTCTACTAATATAGTAAATTACCCTGGTTGATTTTCAGATGTTGAATTATCTTTGTATTTCCAGGAAGACCCTGTTTGGAAAAAAACTTTTTTCGAATACAATGTTGGATTCAGTTAGCTAATATTTCATAGAGAATGTTTGCCTCTACATTCATAAATGTAATTTTTCTTACTTGTACCTCCTCTCCAGTGTGGTATCAAGGTTATTCTACTCTTGTAAGTGAGTTCGGTGTTTCCTCTCTTGTTCTGTTCTCAGCAAAAACCTGTATAAGATAAGATTAATCGCTTTTTAAAGGATTTGGTAAAAAGTCACCTCTAAAATCATCTATGCCTGGCTTTTAAATTGGAAATTGCCATTTCAGTTTTTTGAGTGATTATTAACTTATTCAATTATTCTTAAGATAATTTTGGTATTTGATGGCTTCCCAGAAATTTTACACTTCATTTAAGTTTTCAAATTTATTGGCTTTATGGTATATATCTAGAGTTATTTTCCCCTTGATTTGTGTCTTCCTTGTTTTTGACATTCTTGAACAGATTTGGCAGTGGTATGTCAAATTTATAAGTTTTTTGAATAATTACACTTCAGTTTTTGTTAATCTGTATTTGTTTTAGTCTTTATATTTTAATTCTTTTCTTCTTTATGTTTACTCTGCTGGTTTTTGCCTATGAAGTCTGTTCCATTAAAAGAAAAAATGGATTAAATTATTTATTACTTATTATATTAAAATATCTGTTATGTGATTTGTAACTCGTTTTTACTTTAAAATACAATAATTATATAAACATGTAATTATTACTTACAGAACTAACAAAGGGACACCGTCATGATTTTAAAAATTCAAACAATATGAATAAAGCAAAAGCTCCTTTTGAGATTCCCTATGCTCAAAACTGATTTGAATAGTTAAGGATTTCACATAGCTATTAAGTGGCATAGTCTAGATTTGAACTGAGGTCTTCAGATTTCGAGTTCCACACTTCTACATTAAAAGATTTCTTCTTCAGGGCGCCTGGGTGGCTCAGTTGGTTAAGCGACTGCCTTCGGCTCAGGTCATGATCCCTGGAGTCCTGGGATCGAGTCCCACATCAGGCTCCCAGCTCAGCTCCCTCTGACCCTCTCCCGTCTCATGCTGTTTCTCTCTCTCTCATAAATAAATAAATAAAATCTTAAAAAAAAAAAAAGATTTCTGGGGCGCCTGGGTGGCTCAGTCGT